CCCCCCCCCCCCCCGCCCCTGGATGAGCTGCCTGGGCAGCGAGTGTCCCACAACCCTCCCCAGGGCCCCATTCACCTCCCCCCACCACAGGGACCTCGATCTGCCCCCCCCAACTCCTATCCCCTGAACCCCTTTCTGTCCATACATTTCCCTGCTCAGCTGGGCACTGCTCCACCCATGGCTGAGACAGGCTGAGTTCCTGGCCACCTGCAGGCTCCAGCTGCTTGTCTTTGTCTGTGTGCGCCCCTCCCCCTGCTGCAGCTGCCTGGAGCCTGTGCCTGGGCTGCTTGCATTTTGGGGGGGCTAATCCCCCTTAGCCCCAGCCTTTCACCGCCTATGGTGTGTTCTAATGCCCAACCATCCTCAGATGTGCCTCAAATGCAATGTCTGTTTACAGCCTAGGAGTCAGACTGTGGAAGTTTCTCACTCCATTCTTACTCCTGCAGCTGTATTTCTACCGCATGATTTTTTGTCTAAGTGAAAACTGAGTAAAACAGGAATGAAAACCTCCTGACTTGGCTCCAAATGCACAAACAAGCAAATATTATTGTTTTCATGTAATGTAAAGGGATTGATTCTGCCCTCATTTTCTTCATCTTATATCAGGGGTATTACACAGAAGTAAACAGAGCTACTTCAGTAAAAGTAACATTTAAATCAGGCCAATAATAATAACTATTTAAATAAAAATAAAATCTACTGCATGCTTTTATTTTAAGAATCCATTTTACTTTACCTTTCTTTCCCCCCATCCCCCTTTTTCCCCCCTTTTTAACAGTAACATGCCCTCCTGGTAGATTTAGTGCAAATTATGATACCATATGTATACTCTGTGCATCTGGCTCCTATAATAAACAATATGGGCAGACTGCATGCAAAAACTGTCCAAGAAAACAGACCAGTGATAGAAGAGGAGCCAAAACTGAAAGAGAGTGTCACAGTAAGTTCATGTCTATAAAAGAAATCATTATCTAGGTTGTCACTGACATAAATAGTTAAAAGCAGAATGGAACTGCTGGTCTCTTAATTTTTGTATGTTTTTTATCATGAGAATGAGACCTCAGAAATCTCTCCTCCTCACCAGACTTGTTCAGTGGTGTCACCCAATATCACCGCCTACAGGTTCATGTAAGGGATATGGGGGCATAACAGGATACTTGCTCCCAACCAAGTGCAAAGAGGGTGTAAAATGAAATTGCATGGATACATCTACATGTGCTATTAATGCAAAGCAAATAAACTCTGGAGTGTATTGCTCCCGGGCACACCATTTGCATGTGCACGCAGGACTGCAGCATATTGAGCCAAGTCAGAGCAGCCCTGGCAGGCAGGGGCCCAGGGGGTCAGCCTGCCAGCCCACGGCTACTCCCCCTGGCTCAGTGTGCTGAGGATACTTCAGTGTGGGGCTAGCTAGCAGGCAGCCCCCACACTGAAACACCCTTTTGCCCCAGCCAGTCAGTGCAGTGTCTACACATGTGCTGCTGCAGACTAAATTAGTTTACTTTAGCCTAATAGGGGCACACATCTAGACACCAAGTCATTTACTGCACACCTAATTAGCCTATTGCACAGTAAACGTCTTGTGTAGGTGAGGTCCATGAAAAAGGAAATGATTTGTACTCACTTTGGACTAGTGGAGATGATTGTAAAGAGCAGAGGCAAAAGAGACTTGTTTTGCAATTACCTGGTCTATGCTGTAGCACTGATGGGAAGAAAGCACAACATAAGAGCGAATCCTTATAGCTTGTTGAAATGCGTTCAAATGAAACATTGATAGTTTTGTTTATTTTTATGAACTAACAAACAGTGGGTGAATGTTATAGTGTAGGCTTCTACCGCTCCCCATTCTGGATGAATCTTAGAGGTTATTCTTTTTGTTGTGCCAGCACAGCATCTAGGTCCATATGCTGCAGACAGACATACAACATTTGAAACATTTCAGGTGGCTAGAGTACAAAGTACATATGGGATACCATGTGGGATAAAAAGCTCCAAAGCAGGACAAAAACGTTTCTGGAGGGAGTGGGTGTTATTTTTTACTCTTTCCTTGGGGAACACGTTGTATGTTAGATTGGTCCTTTAGACAGCCCACAATGCAGTGCTCCTCCTCTCCTTCCTCCCTGTACCTTGACTGCTGCTGACATCCCAGAGGCTCCTGGCACTCTGGCTGCTGTGGGCATTTCATTTTGTGGGATCCTAGCTCTCTGGTCACTTAAGGTGCCACTGCTACAGAGCTCAGGGTGCTCTGGACACTCAGGGTGTTGTGGCTTGTGACATTCTGGTCACTGGGCATCCCAGCACTTTGGTTACTGCAGGTACCACCAGTTCAAGCACTCTGGAAACTCAGGGTGCTACTGCTTCTGGCACTCTGTCGTCTGCAGGTGTTCCACAGGTTCATGGCTTTCTTGGCTCTCGGAGCACTGTGTACTCCCAGCACTCTGGGTACTCAGAGCACCAGTGGATCCAGGAGCCCCTTGTATCCCCCTTCTGGAACTGGAAGGCCCTGTGTCCACCCTAACATGAAAACCAGACTGGACACCCTGCGTTACCCCCACCATAACTGGGATTCCTCGTCTCCAGCCCCCAGTCTCCATGTACCTTTCCCCATCTGGTCTCCCAGTTCTGGCAGAGGGGCTTAGGGTCTCCAAGTTCCAGCTGAGGAAACACAGGGTCTCCAGTCTTCCAGTTCCAGCTGGTGGATATTCTGGGAGAGCAGAGGCAGAGCAAACATGAGAGATTTACTGACATTGGCTCCACTCTCCTTCTCCCTTGTAGAGCACATCACTGAATGCAACTGCGTTGATTTTAAAGTGCTGTAGCTGTGGGGGTCTGAGGGAAGCTGTGCGACTGTCCAGTGGCTTCATTTTTTTAAACACTTAAACCCTGTTAGACTTTGAAACCTTTCAAACATTGTATCTGTCTGTACACTTAGACAACAGGGAATGAGAAGCATATGTACATGCTCTTTTCTATTATTAATGGGTTTGTTTGTTTTTTTCATTTTTTCAGGAACTCTGCAAATCTGGATTGTTTTCCTAATTTCCTGCGTAGGAACCACCCTTATCTTAGTGATATCCTGGATGTAAGAACCTTTATGAAATTTAATTTCTATGATGCTTTCATGCTACATGATGGGACCTCTCACTTATACTTTTAAAGCATCTCTTCACTTAGAAAAACTAGATGTAAACCATGATGATAGATTTTAACTTGGAGTGCAGAAGTGACAAGCTTTCTCTTCAGTCCCCCTGACTGTAAACATTGGAGCTGGATTCGGTATGGGCCTTGGCCAACCTTCCCTAGACCCTCCCCACTCAAAGCAGCACATGTCAACAAGTACAAGTTGCAGCAGGCAGTTCACATTCATTTTTCTCTTCCATATTAAGGAATTATCATCTCCTGTCTCCTCTTGAGGGGCATTTCCAGAACAGCTTGGAAATGGAATGCTGCTGGAGCAGGGGTGGGCAAAATGCAGCCCATAGGCCAGATCCAGCCCACTGAGGGATTTTGTCCAGCCCACAGATCCCTTAGTCACACCCAGCCCAGGCACCCCCCTGTGTCAGCCCAGCCTGTGGCATATGCGGCAAGTCCTGCTACCCCCAGGTGTACTATGGGGTTGGGGCAGCATGGAGGCCATACTCTACTTTCCAGCATCCTGGCAGTGGCTGCTCCTTCCAGCAGCCACTGCCACCAGCCCCAGCCCTGCTGCCCAAGTACTCTGGTCTGTTTGCCCTGCACCTACCACCAGGGGCAGGACGTGCAGAGGCACTTGGCTGAGCAGCTGGGATGGGGCCATGGGCAAGTGGGAAACAATGTCTGGGAACAAGATGGGCAGGTGGAGCCAGGGAGACCCTGGGATCTTGGGGCAGCGACGGTGTGGGGCCAGGGCCCAGGGCAGAGCTGCGATCCACTGCCCACACACACCTGTGATGGGCATGGGTTCCATTTGCAGAAGCACGTGGGGAGTGGATCACAGCTCTGTCCTAGCCCTGTGCTGAGCTGAGACAGAGCTATGATCTGCTGTCTGCATGCCCCAGAGATGGGCTCTGGTTTCATGGGCAGGGCCATGCAGGGAATGGATCGCAGTTGTGCCCTGGGCCCCAGCCCTCTGCTGTCACCTCCCCAAGATCCCAGCCCTGGCCCCGGATGCAGCTCCCTGGCCACCTGCAGCCCCATGCTGTTTGGCCAAGTGCCCTGCCCATGCAGTTCCTGGCCAGTCTCCATGGAGACCCCCAGATCTTGGGGCGGTGGTAGGGCTGGGATGCTGGTTCTGCAGGCAGTGGGATGTGAGCAACAGATTGCAGCTTTGCCCCAGCCCTGTGCTGTCACCTCTCCGTGATCCCAGGGTCTCCACAGAAACCAGCCAGGAACCATACAGGCAGGGTGCGTGGGGCCGCAGATAGGCAGGGACCTGCATCCAAGGCAGGGATCTTAGAGTGGTGACAGCACAGGGTGAGACCAGGGCACAGCCATGATCCGCTGCCTGCCCACCCCTGCAACCGGCACCAGTTCTGCAAACAAGTGTGTATGAGCATAAGCAGTGGATCACTGCTTGGCCCCAGCCCTGAGCTGTCACCACCCTGTGATCCCAGGGTCTCCATGAAGACCAGCTAGGAGCCACACAGGCAGAACACATGACAAGGGAGATGGGATGAGGCCCAGGGTGGGTGGGGAGCTGTGTCCGAAGCCAGGGCCAGGATCTTGGGGTGATGACAGCGCAGGGCTGGGGCCCAGGGCAGAGCTGCGATCTGCTCCCTGCATGGTCACGCCCATGAAACCAATGCCCATCTCAGGGGAGTGCAGGCAGCAGATCATAACTCTGGCTCAGCCCAGCCCAGCCCCAGCCCAGTGCTGTCACCAAACCTTGCCCCTTGATTCTGCTCTCACCCACCCATCCTGCTCTGGAATGCCATTCCCTACCCACCCATGGCCCCATCCCACATAAGGAGTTCTGGTGAGTTGTTGTGCAGGGGCAGGGGTGCTAACCTGCCCTGGAACAGCTCAGCAAAACTCCCTATGTGGCCTGCAAATAACTGTCCACCCATGTCCTAGAGGCACACCCTTAGACTACAGTAATCAAACATAATTGGGCAGCTGCCCACAAAGGCCAGGAACTTTTGAGAAAATGCTCCTGATACTGAGGAGGTTGCAGTCAGCCAACTGATTGGAACTGCAGTTCTTTTGTGTGGCAAATGGAAGAATGCTGTGGAAACTTATACTTAAAATATGATTAATCTGTTAATCACATTTTAGATAGTAACGTGGCCAGACATTCAGGGAATTAATGGTGCCAGAAAAAAAAGAAACCAGGCACAAAAATTGTACACAAAAACATGTAATATTTTTATCGTTCTTTTCCATTGTGCCTTAAGTTGAACATTTGGCAAGGTTAAGACTGCACTGGGGTCTCCAACTGGCCCTGGGGTGGTCCCTAAAAGCCAACAATCAGCTGATAGTTGGCTCTCTCTGGGACCATACTGGGGCTCAAACTGGACCCAGTGCAGTCGCCAGAGCCAGCTGATCATCAGCTGATCACTGGCTAGCTCTAGGGTTTGCACTGGGACCAACTGAAACCCTAATGTCGTGCCAGAGCCACTTGACAATCAGCTGATTGTCTGGGCGGCCAGCTTTCAATTTGCTGTTGCAGGGGAGCCCACGATTGTGATCCTGAGCTCCACCTGCACTCTCAAGTAGGGCACGATTGAGATCTGATCCCTGATCCCAAAATCATGTCTTGTCATGCACATATGGTAGGAGGCACAATTGTTGGGATCAGATCCCATTGCACCTTTAAATGAACATCTGTCTGCAGCCTCAGGGTACTCAAAATATGGCAGGAAAAACTGACAATTTTCAGCTTGCTAGGAGTCAGGGGTTCATGTCTTATCTATACAATTTACATAGAATCAAAGAAAAGTAGGGGTAGAAGGGACCTCAGGGCATAATCTAATCCAGTGGTTCTTAACCTTTTTAGATTCAAGGCACCCCTCATTAGACTCAAGGCACCCCTTAAAAAATGCCAGCTCTTAGTTTTCACTTGTTTTTTGACTACAGAAAAATGATAGGGCGCTTCCTTGTTGCAAAGTAGTCAGAAAAACCACAACAGGTCAGAAAGCTTTTTGACACTATGGATTCCTATTTGAAATCTCTGAGTTTATCTTGTGAAACACAGCACCCTGGTTGAAAAACACTGATCTAGTCCAACCCCCTGGTCAAGGCAGGATCATGCCTATTCAAACCATCTCATACCATCTCATACAATACATCTCATACAAGTTTTAGTTAGGGAGCTTCTGGAGGGGCTGGACGTTTTTAAGTCAGCCGGCCTGGATGATCTTCACCCTAGAGTCCTAAAGGAACTCGTTGGGGTCATTGCAAGTCCCCTGGCACGGCTTTATGAACACTCGTGGTGCTCTGGAGAGGTGCCGGAGGACTGGAAGAGGGCCAGCGTGGTTCCCATCTTCAAAAAGGGGAGGAAAGAGGACCCGGGGAACTACAGGCTAGTCAGCCTTACCTCGATCCTGGGCAAGCTGTTTGAGAAAATTATTCTGGCACACATCCAGGAGGGGCCAGCAGGGAAAGGCATGCTCAGGGGCAACCAGCACGGGTTCATCAGCGGGAGGTCCTGTCAGACCAACCTGGTGGCCTTTTACGACCAGGTCACTAAATCATTGGATGCAGGGGTGGCAGTGGATATAGTTTTCCTAGACTTCAGGAAGGCTTTTGACACTGTCTCTCACCCCATTCTCATTAGGAAGCTGGG